TAAGTTCCTTTAACCCTACAAGAATTCCTAGCTATCCACATTCTCCGAAAAGATTGCAAGAATCTAATGACAATATTTATATGTACTAAACTCATGTGTTTCAACCTAGTTGTGCTTCTAAGCTTCTTCAGATAGTCCATGATTACAACTAATTCTAACAATTCAAGGGGCTAGTTCGAATGTAAATTAAGATTCAATAGATAAAACATCAACCTAAGATTTCAAAAGTTTAAGAATCTAGCATGAATTTCTCTAGATTTTAAATAAAATCAATCCACAAATAATAATAATAATAATAAAACTTAAGTGCTCAACATGTTTGAAGACAACAACATAATTTGCATTAAATCCATTCATATCAAGTATAATCAGAGTACAAAGTAGAAAGAAAGAACTAGAATGAAGAAACATTTCTTTCCCATGAATAGACTGCTTCCTCGATCTCCTCCTTACACAATACAATGATATAAAACTCTTTTTCTTGCACTACAATACAAAACACACTCTCTAAGCCTTCTTCTAAACTCTCCCCAAGTATGACCGTCTATAGAATGTTGTGAGCGTCCCTTGATACAAAGAAATACACCCTTATATGCTCCCCACGTTGGAACCATAGACCAAACACCAAAACCGTCCCAAGTCGGAGGTGGGGCAGGGGGTGGGGAGAGTAGGAGGCATCGGGCTGGGTGTGGCGGTGCTGGCTTGCGACACTGCATTTCGTGACTACGTGTCATCAAATTAGGGCTTCTAGTGTCAAAGCGCTAGCCTAGTGGCAAGGCGGCACTAACATTGGGCACCGAAGAGCAGTGGCGCAAAGGGCCTCATGCCGGAGTGTCACCTTCCCTGGATTCTTCTCTGGAATAGAGTGCATCGGGCGCCGGGGCGCTTGCTTGATGATGTGGGGCACAAGACAACTACAGCGTCCCAATCTGGATCGAACCGGTCCAGGCTTTCCACAGTGGGAGGCCAACTCTTTCAAGGGGGTTGCCTGCCTAATTTCAAAAGAGGGGTCCACTCATAGTTATCATAGGGTTATTTATTTCCTTTGTGATGTCTAGGGTTTTAGTTTTTATCATGTTTTTTTAAGGACAGTTGTCGGCATCGCTATATTTCCGTGATTCAGGGTTGTATCCAAGGGTTGACCGGTGCTTCGACTGTATCTTACTCCCAATGGGGTGATAATTATTCCCCATCCTTCTCACATCACTCCCTGTCGCCCGCACTTGTTGTAGCCGCCTCAAAATCTTTTGGTTGTTTTCCGGTAGATTCCTATCTTCCAACCGGCTGTCCTCGCTACCGCCACCCTAGAAAAACATCTTTTTGTTGTCCTGTAATCTACCAAATCCGCCGTCCCTGCAACCATTAGCCCCCCTTGCTGCTCAAGCCTAGAACGACAGTTATCTGTTGTTTTCCTGGTTATCTGGCCATCTTTCTTGGTAATACTACCCAAGACAACAACCATACTTGTTCCAACGACTTCACACTTTCCTCTCGTTGCTACCAACACCCCTTTGTTGTCGCCACACCTTCCAGCTATTAATCACCCATTTCTACCTCTCGAAAGTCCAAAACCTCACCGGTCACCACCATCACCCCAGGATCAACCCTAATTTGAGTTTGTGTTGTCATTTGTTGTAATTTTAGATTTTCATTTGTTTTGTTGTAATTTCCTATTGGAAGTTGGTAATAATATTAGTTTTTCATTGTTGTTTGGTATAACACTGGTATCATTCAGAATCAAAGCTAGCTTAACCCTCGTCATATTCTAGGGTTATCAAAATTCTAACAATACCGAACCCAATCTCCACCCAAAGCCCCACACCTTTGCTGATTTTTCAAATCAGCCCAGAAAACTTTTTTCCCAACACTAGACTAACCCAATACCCCCTTTCACCGCTCAAAACCCAAACCCTAACCACGTCACCGAAGAGATAATTGTCGGAAACCTGGTCAAGAGAAAATAACACAATGTCGCCTATGGGAAATCCACAGAGAAATGTCTAGAAACACTCTATGAAAAATATGCAGCGAGAAATTCTCCAACTGCAATAGAGGTTTGTCTATGAAAAATATGCAGCGAGAAATTCTCCAACTGCAATAGAGGTTTGTCCTTTTCGAGAAGAGACAAACCGGAGGAGTCACCTGTAGACACTGATAATACGTTAAATTGAAAGGATGAAGAACTACTACCCCAAAAAATTCTCACAAAATATCATAGGAGTTGGGATCTTGAAGGAAAGATGGATTTACTGGATTTTGACGGTCGCAGGGATCCATAAGATTCCTTGATTCGTTCCAAGCAGTGAAATGTGTCTTTGAGTACCAGGATGTCCCACCAAACATAATGGTAAAGCTATTTGTCATGAAGTTTAAGAATGACGCATCTCTGTAGTGGGAGAATATGAAGCTTCTTTGGCAATGGGAACAGAAAAACAAAATCACTATCTAGTCCAAGATGAAACGAGAGATGCGGTACAAATACCTACCAGTTCATTACTGACAAGACATGTTCTCGAGACTTCATTACCTAAAACAATAAGATCTCTCATTAGAAGAGTACACAATTGAGTTCGAGCAGTTAATATTAAAATGTGGGCTAGTAGAATCCAAGGAAAATACCATAATTCGATATCTGAGGGGATTGAGATTGTCTATTGACAATTTGGTGCAGTTGCAACCTTATCGAACATTACAGAATAATCATACCTTAGCCCTGAGATGGACAGACAACGTCGCTGAGTGATTTTCACATCTTATAGGAGCATTAGGATCAAGCAGCAAGAGTACACCCATCATAACATCCAAACCAACCCAGCCTAAGAAAAAACTAGTTCAGAGTGGAGAACATAAGACACTAATAAGGTGGCACCGGGGTGTGGGCACGACAACGCTGGCTTGCAGTGCTGCATTTCGTGGCTCCAAGTCGTTAAATTAGAGCTTCTATTGCTGGCCCTGGTGGCGAGGAGGCACCGACATTAGGATTTGGGGGCGTTGAGAGCCTGGCACTGGAGTGTCACATTCTCTAAATTCTTTGGTGGAATAGATTGCATCGGGTGCCGAGGTGCTTGCCTATTGATTTTCCAAATTTGTGCTCCAATTATTCCAAGTTCTGAATTTTCACCTGTATACTACATATAGCACCACAGACACCCTATAAAAGCATAAAATGACACCAGGATTATGAAAAATATCACTATAAACTACATCACATTTAACACGCATCAGAAGGCCATTAAAAATATAAAGAATGACATCTTCATTGTCTGTGTCCTCCAACTATTGAAATGTTGTCTGTCAAGGCTTGATCGCAAGTAGGAATTTAGTCAATGAGAGATTTTTTATAAAGATGTGGTGGAGCTCAATTTTCAACTGTCTGACCTTGAACCAGTCTGTTGATTGATGTCTTTTGGCTAAAGTTTCCCATATTTCAGAGGTTGATTAAAGATTGAATATGTAGGGGCAGAATGAAGTGATATGGTGTAGAGTGCTGCAAAGAGATTTTGATAAATGAGTCGCCAGATGGAGTGTTGAGGACTTGGTGATGTTTGGCCATTTGTGTCCCGAGTTTGTGAATAACATGTAGAGGAGCTATTGAAGAAACCTTCAAAGCCATTTGCCTTGAATAAATTGAATACTTATGATTTTCTGTTATGATAGTGTTTTGCAATGAGTTGAATATTTGTGATAGTTCAATGTTTGATATAAGAAATTTGAGAAGGAAATTTGAGGAACAATCATGATGTAATCAGAATAGGATTCTATTTGCTGGTATGACATAATGAATCTGACGCAATTAAGTAGAGAGAAGAAAAAGGATAGATGTTTTGAGGGGAAGATTCTTTACCAGTACACTAATATCATGATAAAGATCAAAGAAAACTGAAGCATAAGAGTAATAGAAAGAATATTATGTCGATTGAAAAACAGATTTCATTATACTGTAATGCTTACAAACATAACTCTATTGTCCTTTTGATGTGAGTGTCTCCGCGTGCGGGATTTTCCATGACCCACAGACTCTCGTCTGCTCGCCTAAACCGAACTGATCCAGGCCCTTCTCTGTTTTGGTAGTGTAGGCCGGTTCCTTAGACCACTCCTAGTTATTCTATTATCATAAATTTTCTTTCGTGGGATTCTAGGGTTAGTTTAGTTGTGTTTCTGTCGGGACAGCAGTGGGTATCCCCTGTTTTCCCATCTAAGTCAGTATCAAAGGGCCGGTGGTGTCCCGAGTGTATCTAGTTCTGAGGTGGTGATTCTCTTCCAAGATTCAAGTGATGCTTTGGTTGTATCTACCTTTTCCATGCCCCGCATCCGCCCCATCACTCCCGGCCACACCTTCTCCTTACCACAGCCACATAGAACAGCCTCCTGGTGCTATTTGTTTGTTGTCCTCCTGCAGAACCAGCCACCAGCCACTCCTTTTGCTGTTTCCTTCTGCCTCCACCCTTCTTCACCCTTGCCGCATCGCCAACGCTATCCGGAAAGCAGCAGACCTGCTGTTTTTTTACTGTCCACACCCAAAAAAACGCAACAACCGTTGTTATAGTTCATCCCACTGTCCATACCAATATACCCGCCACTTGCCACCCCTTTCAAACCCCATAGCCGAACACCACCACCCCTGGATCAAACCCTAGTGTGAGATTTATTTGTTGTGTCTGTTATTATTTTCCCTTTCAATGTGTTAGTTGTAACCATCTATTGGCTTTTTCAGTAACAATATTTGTTTGTTTATTGTTGTTTGGGTTAACTTTACTATCACTTTTACTCCAACACTTAGTTTATATAGGCAATTGTGTACATGAATGGAAATGTTCCGAAGTACTGAAAAGATTGGAGGGAATTCAAAAATGGTTATATGTCCGAGAGGCAGGATATATAGCCTATTTATCAAATCAATTGTGTAGCCTATATGATAGTTGGTTATAGTGGGGACGCGGTTAAGTATAACAAAAAGAATAAATCAAAACAAACATTGAAGAATAAAGACAATGACCGACCATTTATTTACTGATCCTCTACCATCATATTCTTCCCCCCACTTTTCCCACCATGATTGATCATTATGGGATCCATGCTTGTAAGCTCCTTTTTTGGCCCAACCTTTGGCATCATATTTTTCCGACCTAAGAAATCAGTTAAAGTTCATAATTAAGATGGCATTGAATAAATATATCCTTCAAGCAAAGTATTTAATGGTGACAGTTTGATCGCATAAACGTACCAATTCTCATACCATTCAGCATTTTCTGAACCTGATTTTGCTTGCTTCTGTGCGCTCCTCTCTATCCTTGCAAGATTACTGCAACCACCACCAAGGGCAGTATACATTCGTAACCAAAAAGAAAAAAAAAAGATCTGACATTGAAATTACTTCACGTGAAGAGTATTGGTTCATGATTTGTAACGTTCAATTGCATATAAAGCCTATAATTATAATCTAATAACATGGCTATTAATAGCAAGGTAAAAAATTAGACAGGAAAGTTCCACGCTCCTGTGAGAAAAATAATTATAGTGCGAATTAACAATAGAATAAATCAATATGAGTTACAAAGAGGACAAATATGAGAGTGGCGGGGACTCCCAAATATTATTTCAAAAAGAGACTGCATGGAAAGAATCACAGTTGGCATGTGAAGTCTGTGGTGGTGGAGAAAGCTTTTGGCCAAAAAGAAAGAGGCGTATGAGCACAATGAAGAAGGCTTATTTCAACAAGGTGACAATGATGACGTTCGGAGAGAATGGAAAGAGCATCGAACTTTTACTTAATCCAGTGAAGATATATCTGATATATTAATAATAACTACCAAAAGAGGTGATTAAGAAGATCAACACATTAGAATAAATAAGTTCTAATGGATAAGACGTGGCAAAAGATGAAGCATTAGAGGGCAACTCATGAATTTCATTTCAAAAACATGAACTATAGACATTGAGATGCAATGGATGAAGATGCAAGTGACACATGTTTATAATATTAGATGTTCTAGAATCGTGGAGGGTTTACAAAGAGATGATGTCATTACTTAGTAGATGCATTGTAGGCAGAGAAAGCAAGAATAGTTTTTTGTCAAAGAAATTCAAAGATAATATCTTTAGTTGTTCATTTCATATGGATAGCTTCAGTGTGAAGCTCCTGAACAAAAAACGAATGCGGTGAGAATTCAATGGAGACATTAATATTTAGAAAAAACAACTTGGAATTGAGATAGATTTTTTTGTCATTTAAGAGATGCATAAGACATTTCTAAGGGAATATGATGTTGCATTAGAGAGAATTGTTGGACTAGGGTAAGTGATGGGGAATTTGGTGTGGTCGCCAATATGAATACTTTTAGTAGGGGGGCAATGGAGGGCAAATATGAAATCAAACCCGAGTTAAAGATCCACTCGGTGGTGTTCGGCACGGAGTGATGAGTAATCTTAGGGAGAGTATATTTTGTGGTGTGGAGTGGTGATGAGTTTGTGAACGAAATTGGGATATCAATGTGTCAAGTGATCTTGTTGATAACATACTAGGAATTTATCGATGCAAGGATGCGTGTCGTGCTGAGATATTTGCATTCATTGGCATAATCCTTGACTATTTTGAGGTCCAGATGGTCTTCCTCAACAGAATAACCAAGGAAGGCTAAGACATTGACAATAATTTTGATGTGTTGCATGTAATCAGTGACGACTTTAGTGTCTTTAGTTAGAAGACGCAGATCTTTCAGTTGGGTGATTTGTTCTCATAATGGTTTGGCATAGGTGATGATCAAGATATTCCATGTTTATTGTAATGTACAACTAGATGCAATAAAAAATACAAGGTTTGGGGAGAGCCAGGATAAAAAATACAGCTGACCATAGAACTAAGAACAAGTTGATCCTGGCAAACCCACGGGGAGAAATTTGGGTTTAGAGAATTATCCGTGGTAGGGAGAGTTTATTCTGAGCAAGAATAAAACCTGTCAATGTACCCAAAGAGATTGTAGAGGACAACATAAACTTAGAAGCGCTTGGATGAGTAGTTTGTGGGTGCAAGTTTGATTTGGGTGTATTATTAATAAAGATAAGAGTGGGTTTTTTATCAAGTGGAATGATAATGGTACAGGCATTTAGGTAGTATGTGGATAATTGTTATGGCTATGGGGAAGGGCTTCTCTATTTGGACAGTACACAAGTGAAGATGATGGCAGTTCAAGCGCTTTCTACTCTCATTGAAGATTGGATAACCGAATGCCAAAGGATTATTATAGAGCGACAACTCGACTGTTATGGATTACCTCCGAAGTAGCATGGATAACCGGTGCTGACAATGTGAGATTTCCAACAATCAAAACTTTGGTTTTTTGTCCAGAATCAAATTATTTTCCAACAAACTTTCAAGAGTGACAATAACGTACTCATACTTGCGCAAGAATGACTATAGATAAGGATTTTGTTTTGAAAGTTGTAAATGTAGATGATCCTCTTTTTGTTTTTTTGCAAGAGCATAAGAGTCATCTTGTTTAATGTCCTTGGACAAAATTTTATTGTCTTTTCTTTTTGTACTTTCGTTTGATTGATGCAAATGCAATATTTCATGGATGATCATTCGGCCATGGACTTAAATTAAGTGAGACAGGGTAGGTCGGCAGTTGGAGAAGAGAGGATAGATGAGGTTGGCTAAGAATACTTATGGATATGATATCATTTAGAGGGAATAGAATTTGATATAGAGACAAATACAATCTCGCTTTTTATCCATTCACATACAAGTGTATAAATATACAATTACATGCTTGACAAGAAACAAGGTATACAAATAGCAATCATAATTCCTATTCAAATTTTCTTCCTAATATAGAAAATAGTGAAGTTTAGGATAATATTAACTTCACCTTCAAAATATTTTCTTGGCATAGAAAGATAACCAAGAAAACTATACGATGGAAGATAGTGGTCTTTAAGAGTTTCCTCTAATTTATAGTAAGATTAACTCCGCTTCAAGCAACATTCATAGCATAGAAAGATAACTAAAGGAACTATATAATGGTAGATGGTGCTTTTTATAAGTTTCCTTTGATAAAGATCATTCCTTAAATAGCATTCCTATTCTGCCAGATGTAAGAGCAAATTAAATTTAGTGATACTTTCATACTTTTTGTTATATACATAGAGTAACATTATCCGGGTAAAGCAACTCGGAAAAATTTTTGAAATAGTTTTCCCTTGTATAATCTTGCATCGAGGCTTAACAACAACTACAATTACCTCATTAAATCTCAAACTGCAAATAAACCCATAATTCCAAAATTTCATACCCGAATAAATTGTCATCAATTAAAGCAATAGAATCTGAAAAGAAGCGGGACTTTAAATCTTTGGAAAATTGCAGTAGCTTAGGGAAAAAAATGTCCCAGTTGAGGATAGGCGAAACAACAAATCAATGGACATTTATCCTGGGAAGTGCGTAAAATGAGTTATATATCTACAAAAAAGGCTTAACAGATCAAATAACCTAAAATATTTTATACATCACTACAAATTTCTCAATTATCCTGACCACCATTTCCTAAAAAATTTCTTCCTCTACATTCAGAACTTTCAGTCCTTCATATTTCTCTAGATTTGATAACCTTGACTCTATGTCCAACCTAATTAGAAATGTGTTTGGGCACATCATATGCATCTATATACATTATTTTTGAACAAAATATCATCAAAACTAATCCTAAGACAAAATAGATCATTCGTACATGATATAAATAGGTTGGTATTTCAAATTAAATTTGTGCCTACTAGTATCCAAGAACAAATGTATTTATTCCGTAAAGACATGAAAAATATGTTATGTAAGCTTATACACGTTTGAATTTTAGTGTGTTGAGATACTCAACCTCCATTCATCTTGGTAGAGAATTTCTTGCCATGTCTCCCACCATGAATCTCCATCAGCATTTTTTCCAGATTTCTCCGCACCTAGTAAAATAAAGTAGACAAATATTGCAAAATTTTGCACAATTATTAAAAATGTTTACATGAGATATATCAAGAGAAGTGCTTCGGAGAATCATTTATGAAGCATCCATTACATAATCTCAAAAAATATGTGCTGACACTATAAATTTATAGTCTTTCAGGAAAATTAAACTGGCATGAAGATGACCAATGTAAATCTACATATGCAAAAAGAAATGAGGCGGCTATAATAATATAAATTTCATCATAAAAATGTCCACCAATTAATTGTTGAGCACATAAACACAAATACAAGACATAACTAAAATTCCATTATGAAAAAGAAAGCATTCATTCATTATTCTTAAAAAAGCGTCATTCTTAAATGGCCATTGTGCAGAGGAATACAAAAATACATCCTGAAATTGCTAGATTAATCCATTTGTATAAAGAAAATACAAAAAAAAAAAAAATCACCCTCACCCTTCTATAATATTATGTATTATGACTGATTTCTGCTATTTAGTAATTATAAACCTGGTGTTTGTTACTTTGAAAGGTTCTAAACATCTTAATAAAGAGACATCCTTAACCAGTTACCTCCAAGAAGCTGCCTTGAACATTTTTATCAAAAGTTTGCTAGGCACTACAGTAAGGCTCACCATGGTGGATGCAATTTCTTGAATAACGATGGCTTTAATTAGATATCAAAGGGAAATATTAAAACTACTGCCAGACCTAAAATAAAACTATTATTTTAATGCAATATGCAAAAATAAATTATATAGCTTTAGCCGACCCCACTTACTATAACAACAAGATATCCATGAGCTAAGCTGATTTCAGTAGGCCATCCACATTCATAATTTTGTGTAAAATGTCTATAATATTTGCAGCTGAGACTGGCACTCACCAAAAGTTCAGTCCACTTTCCCTTTCCTTCTATTTCCACATCATTGATTTTTGGGATCCTAACTAACTAATCATCCATCTGTAGATTATTGTAATTATTCTGTAAGTATTATTCAGCCACTCATCAATGCATGACCAATTTCAGGTCTGCTTGGGGCAGCTGCAGATTATATATAAGAAATTATCATGACAATCTGATAATCTACAGATTATCATGACAATCTGATAATTGTTTGAGGGAACTTATTCAGAATAGCTTATTTGCAGTTGTTGTTGAATAAATGACCATTCTGCCCCTGTTTGATGATTTTATTTGCAACAGAACTGTATGAGAAAAATAATAGATAAAACAGAAGCCACAAACTGTTACACATCAGCTCAAAAAAAATAACATACACTGCTCACTCCCTCGTGAGTATCAAAAGAAATAAAATAAAGAGAAATATAATTACAACTACAATTAAAAATATTAAAATGTTTAATTTAAAGTTCTGACGTCGTCTGTCCCCAGCTACACAGTCCTCCTGGAAAACATCGTACCTGGATCACTATTGACGGGAATATGTCGAAATGTTGGGCCAACGGAAGAAACCGCATCGCGCTGAAGCGCCCCTCCGACAACCATAGAACTGTCTCTCACTGTTGTGAGGCTACTGTGACATAAGTAAGGGAATTGGTAGTCTGCAGTAACACAACACAACTCAAGAGATCCTGAAAATACTAGAGCTCATGTTTCTATAGAGATAAACAATAAAGAAATTATTTGTTAAATTAGAAAATTAAATTAAGTTATACATAACTATAAGAGACCCGAATTAAACGACAACTGTGTTGAACGAAACAAGCATAAAAAAGAAATGTGAGCATGCGGTCTCAAATAAGTAACTACACCAACCCACGTGTTTGTCACTAAACGAAGACAGTGGACCTTCAAAAAAATGAGTTCTTGGTTCCTGGGATACATGTGTCTATCACCAAAAAAAGTCATCTAGTAGATCATCATATACCGCTGCAATGAGAAGAAGAGAGGACCTAGTTTTCCTTCTTTAAGATTTCACACGCAATACCAATAGGATACGATCATCCTGTGCTAGATGTATATATCACCAAAAAGAAGGTCATCCACATAAATCCTCAAAATCCGTTGCACCCAAAAGAATTGAGGATATCGGTTGTCTTCATTAGGAATAAACATGCAACACTACATAACAACAACGAATCGGTCATCCAGAAGAACTCATAAGGCCATATTTTTCATCATTCATCATTGACCTCCAACAACCACAAAAAAAGGAAAAAACAAAATAAAACAAAAACAAAGGATTACAAATAAATTTCAAACACGTCATTCTTATATATTTTAAAGTTTTAATGAAACAAATAAAATTCTTAATAAAATCATAAGTTCCAAATTCACAATACAACGAAATACATACGAAATAAACCTATAGTCAAATAAATAAAAAAGAGTAGTTGAATCAACATCCACAAATAGTATCTGTGATAGACTCCCTCAAAGCAATCATCTCGGCTACACCTTCACCGTCCTGAGTTTCAAATTCATTCGTCTCGATCTCATCCTCATGTAATGAATGCCCAACCTGAAATTCTAAAGGTTCTAGAGAGGCATGCAACTGATCGTCATCAGTCAGACAGAAATTTGTATCTGATTGAGAGGGATGTCGTCGGATGAATTTGTGTAAGTGTCATAGTGGCCACCACAATATGCATCTATTTGCGAAATGGATACGACGACATATGACGTAGGATGACTGATTTCTTCTTCCACACCCCAAATGTTCTTTCAATTACTCCACGTAAGGAGGAGCAACGTTTGTTAAGCATTTCTTTTCTACAATGGATCGTGCCACTTGCTCTCTCAAAATTAGGAATATGGTATCAGATGTCCGGATAGGGCTTCAGGTAGCCCTCTGCATCGAATATCCGGCATCAACCAAATAATATTTGTCAGTTAAGAAATACACTATTAATGACAAATACTACATACAAGTAATAGGTTAACATAGCTAAACAAAGCTGGAGGAGGGTGAGGCAAACACTACGTTCAATTCCTAGTTGCATAGAAAAAAAGACGACTATCATGTGCACTTACTTCTCATCCCGTCATTACAAATGTGAATCACATGTTGAAGTCTCATACTGTCATGATATTTTGCGTAGTTGAACCACTCCGAGCAATGTACGTGACCTTTTTGTGGCTGAGTAGTCGGGCATCTACGTGCGTACCGTCGATTACCCTAATATAGTTTTGTTTTTCATTGTTAGAAACTCATTACATCCAGAAGTTAACATAATACACTAATAAAACTTACCTTAAAATATGGCATATAACGGGAATCATTGGCAATTTGTTCAGAAGCAGTAGCGAACAATGGATCATCTGACCTAATGATTTGCGACGCTAACCTCACAAGTGCTTGCACAACTTTGGAGAAGTATCGGTTAATTGTTTCTGAGGAATGTTGAAATCGTTTCATAGCTCCTCTAACTAATTTGTTCTGTGAGAGAATGTATAATGTTATAGTCAACACCTCCCTAGTTGTCGTTCTGGAGGACATTGGAGGTCATGATTAAGACATAACTCGTTAAGAAGATTCATAAAAATGGGTGCAGTTATTCGAAAAATGTTATTGTACCTTATCGGATATCCAGAAAGGATCTCACCAACTCATTTATCCCCAACAAAGGAGGACGTCATGTGAGGTATTTAACTAGTGCTGGAGCGGTAGTACTCCAACAACAATATTGCAATAGTTGCAGCACATGACATTCTTTTACGGCGTTCTTGCTGTGGATCCATCCTAAAAGAAGAAATGTATTAGTATCAAGTAAAGTAGTAGCAGCAAAATGAAATATTAAAAATATCAAGGACTACAAAAGCATCAAAAAGGAATTATGTTGTTCTGGAAAATAAATAAAACTGTCGAAAAAAATACCAAAAAAAGAGCTAGAGACATCAAAATATAAAATATATGCATTCTTCCACCAAAACACGCAAATATTCAATGCGCAGTTTGGGCCGCAGTGCCATGAATATTTGCCTAAGGGAAAGGTCCTCAAGTTTTTTGACACATTTTGCATGAAAGCGCATATCAACAACTACTTCTGGAATAGAATCCAAAGTCCCAATATAGTTTATGATGGTGCGTCAAGGGGAGCAGCAAGCGGCGAAGCTGCAAAAGCATCAATCTATCTATCGAATGAGCTTTTCACGAAAATTTCCTTATCTTTCTTCCTCCTGGTAAGCTTGAGCCTCTTTGACAGGGAACTAGACTCCTCCATCTTCTTCTGGTTAATATTAGGTCATTTTCGCCAGTTATAACCTGCTCAGGTGGCAATTCATCTGGTATGCCTGCAAACCCCAACTCGCTTGGGTTGAATGCATGTTTTCCCATCGAGACAACCCCCTTAAACATTATGTCCAGTTTATCTTCGAACTCCGGCTCAATTTTGCACTGCTTATATTTTTTTGCTATTGGCATTGCTTGTAACATTGTAGGGGATAAGCGAGGTTTAGAGGGCTTGTTAGTTAAACCAAAACATTCTTAGAATAAATCAAATGAGAGTATAATTATTACCTCTAATTTCTCGACCCACCATTCATATGGAACATTGATTTTTCATTTGATTGAATCCTAACCCAACCCGATGAATCCACGTTTCAGCTCCTTCCATATTTTTCACTCATTTAATTGATCACATTTATTTTTGAATTTTAACATGTTGTGATCCTTTTCCGTCAATTCTTTGAACCTCTTTCCAATATTTTGTCAACAATCCTTGTTAAAATATGTGATTGGCTTATTTCCGAGCTCATTTAATACAGAGATTGCAAAAAATATACGTTACTTCCTTATCCCACATAGCTGACGGACCCACTTCATTCGTTTTAGCCATGTTGGAACTAATGAAGAATTAATAATTAAACAAATGAAATAAAGATATAATATCTTGTTAAATCATAGTGCAATGAGGACGAAATAAGTCTAAATAAAAAAACTGAGAATAATGAAAACTACAAAATAAAACTGAAAACATTGCCTCATATATGGCTCCCTTATGCCTCAAATATGCCTCATGTACGGCTCATAGATGGATAATGCCTCAATATATGCCTCAATATTTGCCTCAATATGTGACTCAGTATATGTCTCAATATATACCTCATAATATGCCTCAACATATTTCTCAACATTTGCCTCGAGTATGAAAAAAGCCTCAAGATTTTATTTGTTCAGGGAATATATCTTCAAAAGGATTCGGTATCAAACATCAGTCATTCAACCGCCAAACCCGAGAAAAGCAAGAGACAACTTACCCATCAGATACATAAAATGAACGACCATTTAAAGATGAACAACAGCTCCCACAGTAAAGCATCTTCGAACAGTCCCTCAGATATCTATACCACCAGTAAATCTCATACATAACTTCTTCAAATGAGTTTAGCTATCAATCATTAACCAATCAACTACCAAACCCAATAATAGTAAGAGTGAACTTTCGAATCAAAGCTCTACAAAATTCAAAAGATGAATAACCATCTAAAGATGATCAGTAGTTCCCAATCATAAACAATCATCTTCCAAAAAGTCCATAAAACTATATCAATAACAAACTATCTCATACAAAACATCTCCAAACAGAGACACGATTCGAAGGTAAAACAACATGAGTTCAAATTTCTAAATAGAATCAATCAAATAAGTTCAATTCTCTAAATAAAAAATTTGTTTAATGTAAGACCAGAAATCTTGCTATAAAAAGAAATGAAAAGATGCTTGTAAAAGGGAATCAAACAGTGTAGATAAAAATAAACAATTGCAGAAAAAAAGGAAAAAACCGTTGATATATCCATAAACATGAGCCTAATAAAAGGGAAGGGCATCAAATGAAACACCCTGAATTAAAGACCAACACAACAACTCTCGATCTGGATCACCTTTACACCCATCACCTTGGATATTTTAAGCAACATATATAAGTACCTAGGTGAAATATGAAAATCATAGTTAACTGCATTTCTCACAGTTGAGAAGGTTGAGATTAAAATCACCACCAACTAAAGAGAATATAACTGCTTCCTTAATATAACTGCTTCAAGAAGTTATATAACCAAGCTTCCAACATCAAAAAGAGCATTAAAAAAAAAAATCAGTGAGCAGATTCAGGTTGGGAGGTGAGTCTCATTTTTTCTCAAGAGTAGAAGTGATGATATTAAAATTGTCACCAACTAACCAAGCTTCCTTAATATAATTGCTTCGGGAGCTCCCATCTAGCAACTTTATTACAGCCACCATAAACAACAATAATTAAAAAGGAAACACCAATAACATATACTCTGATATGATGAAATAGTGAATGATTCACAAGAATGTCCACATTAATAAAATCTTCTTCCTTTGTTTCTCATTATTTTGCAAAGCCAAAAGAGTCTCAAGAAAATTGATAAACTTTAGTATATATGAACAAATATCATGCATATATCGATATGAAATGAGTGGCAAATAAAGATTCATAATGCCGACCCCAAATAGTTAAGCTCTCTAATACCTCTTAAATTATTCCCCACTTTTTTAGATTAACCACTCCTCTTCCAGCTCAGCTCAAGTAAGAACAAGACAACTGTCCATATTATCCTTCCAGGTTTATCAAAACATCTATTATTAAACACTTCTAAAGATTAAGAAGATTTGTCCTGAAGCAAAGGCAAATCACCCTTATTCAAATAGAAGTTAAAACTAGCAGAAGAAACAACATTTCCCAACACCTCCAAATTACCTTTATCACCTTAGATTAATCAAACAGATATTTTTCATCATCGTTACCTGTCTCAATAGCATCAAGATCAGTACCCTCATCTCCCTGAATAGCAATATGAAAACCACCTTCACATCCCTTAATACCAAATCTCACAGTTAACTGCTTTTCTCAAAATTCATAACCATCTTCTCAATGCATTTAAATACATTCACCCAACAATTTATCAATGCACATTTCTCACAGTTGCAAAGACAGTAGGGTTAACGAAAACCCAGTAGGAACGGGGCATACCAAAACCAAAAATTGCTGAAACAAATTTCGCAGAGAAAGAGAAAAAGCCCGTGCAATTTCATAGATCGTAAGAGGATAACAAACATTAGAGGATACTGTGTAATACATACATGGAAGAAGAACCATGCAATACAGAGGGATAACCTGCGAAATTTGTTTCAAATGCACAAGATCTCGGAAGGAACGGTACTAGACCATAGACAGGAATGGGAGAGGAGAAGGGCAGACGGGATCGAGGGGTGAGAAATGCTATCGCTGCGGGAAATCGATCGCAAGGCAAGGGCACCGATGTAGGAACGAAGACCGGAACCACGGGCTCACAGGTAATAAGCTGCGGCCATGGCCGACTTTCCCTTACGATATAACATAAATTGTTACGTGCATATCTCAGCAGCTCCTTCGAATGCAGTTACCAAACGAGGGTTCGGCGTTTTAAAAATGCCAAACGCCCAAATAAGCTGCGTCAAACGGACCCTTAATTTATATTCATGTTTTCGTATGCTTCCTATTAGAAGCTCACTTAGGATTATATAAATACCACAAAATGTCTATAATTCAAAGCTAAAAAAAATATTGTATAGATTAAAGCAATCTCCAAAGGCATGTAAAAGGCCTTCCAAGATAACGCTCAACATAAAATTCAAACAAAGTTAATAAAACTATACATTAAAATGCATGGCTGTGAGTGAGTCTTCGAACTACTAGTTTATGTTAACAATATCATGACATGCAGTGAATTGGAATAAATAAAAAATTAAATAATAAATGTTCCAAGAATTTGAAGTAAAAAAGGTAGGCAAGCTAGAGTACTTGCATGCCATTGAAGTTATACACTCACAACATTGAATCTTTATATCACAACAAATATACATACAGACATATTGAAGTAAATCGGTAAGTTAGGATGCAAAATTATCAACAGCCCATAAACTTGGAGATGCTCTAAATGCACAATAATAGAAAAAATCTTCTATTAGAGACTGAAGGGAAGACAAATTTACTTATCAAATACTAGATCTGAGATTATCTACATTTTGGGTGTGGTGAGTCAATCATGTAAAATCCTAAAGAATAACATCTTGGGATAGTACATCAAATTCTAAAACATTTGAAGAAAACCTCAACAAAGGAATTCTATCCAAAAAGGAGGATGATTTGTCTCTTGAAGCATATAAAGATGTAAACTAATAGGAGGTCAAATTTAGAATATTAAACATTCTTCAAATACAACTCGGTGACTTTAAGAAATTAAAAAAAAAAAAAGATGATAGCAAGATTTAGCACAAATACCATAATAACAACACAACAATAAAGTCTTTATCTCACTAAGTGGGTCAGCTACATGAATCTTTTTTCTCCATTGTGTACTATTGAGTGCCATATTTTCATTTAATTCTAATAAATTAAGATCATTTTTTATAAATGTCAAGGTTTTTTTAGATCTACATCTACATTTATTAACATAAGTTGAATCTAACATATCTACTCTCATAACCAGATTATCAGATGGTCATTTAATGTGACAAAACCATCTAAAATGACTCTCTAATCTTGTCTGTCACTGGCGCTACAACAAACCTTTCACGAATATATTTGTTTTGCATTTTGTCTCTAAGTGTAAAGCCACACATCCACCTAAACATTCTCATCTCAGCAGCACTTAACCTAATGCTTCCCTTTTATAGGCCAACATTCTGCGCCATAAAACATTGCAAGTCTCACTGCCATTGTATAAAATTTTTCTTTT